ATTTGGACAAATTGTTCGGTTTTGATTGTGACAGATTTAAACATTTTGTAACGTATCATTATATAATGCGCATCGGATTTTACGTTTAAATTATAATTTATATGTGGTAATTGTTTACGAATTTAGCAATAAAAATGCGTGCCACCATTAAAAGAAGGAGATTAGATCCACAGCACAGTAAGATTAAGCCATGTTTATTCTTATCAGAAAATGTGACAATAGTCAGGATTACCGTAATAAGTTAACCTAGTTATTTTCGTACCTGAGTCCCAAGTTTTTCATTTCCCAAAAGGACTTCTTTTTATTCTTTCAATGAAGGTTTGATTGTATGAATTCCTTTATAATTAATTATTTTTTAATTGTAAAATAAAAATTTCCTGTTTAATTTTTTTTTCCTTATCTTCAATAGAAGGATGACCTCTATTGTTCTTAAGATCAAACTTTGAGGGTTACTTTAGCCAATTTTTCATTTCATTTTCTTTGTGAATTCGGAAAGGTTTTAACTCAGGTAAAATTAATCTAGAAATTTACAGGGTTCATTATACCTAGATTGATTTACCTATTTACCTATTTTACCTATTTTACCTAAAAAATGAATAACTAGATTTAGATCACGATCGATCGGCGCGAATTCATGAAATGCAGCACATCTACAAGGAAAAAAAAGAAGCATCAAAAAGGGACGTAATTGTATGTTAGATTCAAGTACGCGTTTTCATGTACGTAAATACGTGAAAAGACGAAATGTCTACCTTATTCTCCTATTTATTCAACGGTTTAATCAATAGTATCGTCCTTAATTTTGTTCCTGCTATCCTATTTATTTGTAACATTAAGATGTTGTCCGTGTGACTGTTCTAAAGCTATAGGATCGTATAGCAATATTTTTATTCATTATTTCTTCTGGTTTACAAATTAATACATTGATTTTGTTTTTTTTTTAAAAAAAAAAATATAACATGCGATCAATTTCATCAATTTCAACGGTTCATCAAACATCATATCATAGCCTTTAAATTATTTAAATTTATTAAGGGAATTGAACATGTAAATTTTGTTTTTACATAACTGTATGAATAAATTAAATTCACAAAGGATTTATTTATTATTTATACGAGTGAAATCTTTTAAGAAAGGTCTGAATTACAAGTGGGTTCAATGCCGATCTCTGGGCGAAACGTGACTCGGAACGTGTTTTTAAATTCCACGATCGAAAAACTTTTAAATGCGCAAATGAATAGTTTGTTCTATCACGATCTTGAAGAGATTTATGTAACAAATGAATAAGCAATAATAAGCGTATACAATCATACATTATTATTGAGTACCTGTATATCGTACAAGGAACATTTGCATCACCCGAAACTCCCTGTTCTCCATTTCCGCCAATCTGCGGAAAAATGTTTTTCCGACAGCAAAAGATTTCTCAAAATTCGTCATGCTTTGAAATTAGTCAAATCCATCAAAAAATAAATGTCAAAGATCGTACGTTCAGGCACCGAGTTAATGGTTTGCGAGACGGATATCTTGCAACGGTCGCTTGAAACGGTGAATGGAATGGTTAGTCACATGTCACGTCCAATAGAGAATTATTCCGGAATGCGTGCAAGATTCTGCGATATCATTGGTCAGTTTGATATAAATGGTTACTGATCTGCGTTTCCTCGCGTATTTTCCCTTAACTTGAAAGGTATGATATTATGATATGGGCTTTGCCCTCCAGACGGGCTTTTACTAGAGAGTAATGAAATAAATGGTCGATACCGTTTTGACTCGCCGTGATTATGATCATAATTATTATTTGTCTTCCTCCCAAAATTTTAAAGGATGATAAATCCTGAACCTGCTTTTCACAAACGAAATAAATATAAAAAAAAAAAGAATTCAAAAGAGTTGCCTATTGCCATTGAAATATGCACTAACCTATGAAAACGCATATGTGTATGCATATATAAACATATCAGATGGTTCATCAATGCCCGAGATTATCCGAATTTTGATCAAATGAATACGACATGTTATGATTTCGTAATCACAATATCAGATGTTAGTATTGTTACGTAAATGGCCCCCTTATCGTTGTGTGTGAGAACGATTTTAGAATGAAAGGTTTTTGCAAATTGTTCTCGAGTTCCGAATATTCGGATGTCCTTACTATAAAAGTCCGTTTGGCTTGATCTGGGTGATTAAGTGGACAACCAATCATCATCGTCCCAAATAACTTAACCGTTTGGCGTACCAGATGGGTAATTGCTCCCCTTTTCAAAGAAATTGGATCAACTAACCTTCACGTGATTACCGCGGTGGTGACGAATGAAAGCGATGCCTTCTCACGTGCGGTACATAGTAAAAATAACGTTGACGCGAGCGGCGAAGTCACGTGCGAATAATCACCGATGATATTAAGAAGAAGCCTCTTTGCTCGACAAAAAGGTCAAAAAAAAAAAAATGAAATCGAACCACTTATAACGTGTATGAATCTTTTTGAGACGTCAAAGGTGAGAGAACTCGCACCCTTTTCTAATCTCAAAACAATATCTACCCGTTCGTGAATAAAAGGATGTTCAAATAATCTGTGGGTTCCAAAGTCACAAACTCACATGATTTGAGACATTCGTTCAACGTAACATGTACCCTTTTTTGAATATGTTTTATTTTAAAGCGTGGATAAAAAGCTTTCGATCACCTGATAACCGTACCCCAATTCTGCCTTGTGTAATTTTGACGATCCTCAATGGCTGAAATTTGGTCAATCCCAATAATTAAAAAAACAAAACCCAGAATTTTTTTTGTCGTAATAATGGCGTCTTTTCTATAATAATAACAATCAGTCAGGTAAGAAGACGGTTTCATTTTTTTTTCTTCTTCTTCCAAAAGCGGTAAAAAAAAAAAAAGGTTCGAAAACAATTGAGAATTTTCTCTATTGTTTATGAATTCCCAACAATGTAAGAAAATAAAAACAAAA